GAGAATCACTTGAACCCTGGAGGTAGAGGCTACAGTGAGCTGTGATCATATCACTACACTCCAGCCTGGGTAACAGAGCAAGATTCTGTCTTAAAAAACAAACAAACAAAAATCACTTTTTATATATATTTTTTTACTGTTATTCAGTTCTAAGTATTTCCATTATAATTTTTCTACCTATAAATTTTTCCATGTTTATAATTTTTTCCAAAAAAATTACTGTTACTAATTTCAAGGTTAACTATATTATGGTCCATACATTAGTAATTCTTTGAAATCTTTGGGGGTCTAGCTTTATGGCCCAGTTAATTTCTATAGATATTATATGTGAGCGTGAAAAGAATGTGTTTTCACCAATTGTTGGATGTGGTGTTCCATGTTAGTGTGCTCAATCATTATTATGCTAGTTAAACTTCTGTGTCTTTATTTTGTCTCATTGTTCTATCAAATACTGAGAAAGGTGTTTTAATCTCTGAGAAAGATGGTGGATTTATCAGTTTGTCTATATATGCCACTTAGTTTAAAAAAATTTTTTCCACTTCCAATCATTTGCAATTACATTAAGTAAATTACATTTTTGGAGAATTTTCCAGTTCTTCTAACTCAACTGTTTGTTTTAAGTAAAGCATAAGTATCACATTGCCACATTCTACTCTTGAATTGCACCATAGGAGTCTCAGTGAAATTTATAAGATTGTTTTTGTTGTTGTTAATACATAATAAAAATAAGAGCTGCCATTTATGAAGTACCCACTATGTGTCAAGCATTGTAATAGGTGCTTTATTTATAATTAAAGCCCTCTTCTCTCACATGATTGGGACAGATAGCTGGTTAGTTCATTGAAAAAATTGTTTAAAGAATTATTATGAAATGATACATGCTTTAAACATTTTATTTGAACTTAAAATAAATGTTTTTATGTGTATTCAGCAATTTTTATGTATAATTTTGTTCAGTGCAGTTTAACTTTTTTCATGCATAAACCACATCTGTAGTGTGTAGTCAGGAATTTCTAGTTTCTGTTGATATAAATTGGAAGTAGAACCCAAAGAAATATTCAAAGCAATATGAGTGCATAATCATAGGTCTTTATTATTTTTAACCAAATTTCATAGTTATCCTGCCTATTTAACAGTTGTTTAACACTTCATGTTTAGTGAGACAAACTATATAATTATAGTAAAAATTATTATTGGCATAAACAGACTTGGGAATAAACCCATCTGACTCTTTATAAATATACAGTTCTAAACAGTGAGAGCAAAAGCATTCAGTTACACTGGAGAGCAGCCATCTAGCTGGGAGCATTTAGTGTGAGTCATTAATATCTGTCTTTATTGTACAGAGGCAATGGAGACAATCAATTGATCTGCTCTATCAGTTGAGTAGAGGTTATTTAAGAGTATCTATATTAGTAGTCCTTACAACAGCTTTGCAAGGAGGGGTATTTTCCTCGTTTTAGAAAGACATGATTTGCCCAAGATCCCACTGCTAGCTGAGGGATCCCACTGCTAGCTAAGGCCTGGACTTGGCTATTACTGAAACAGGACCAGGACCTGGCCTCAGTTATTTCAACTGGTCATTCCACAAAGCCATGAGACCTTTTATAATCTGCATGTGATTTAATCTCAGATTTACTTCATTTATTGCCCATTATCATAAATTAGTATCTAGGATTCTGCATTGGGAAATGTTTTCTTCTGGCCCCCTTAATTATTCTTTTTTTCCATGAAGGTTATTACTCACCATGCTTTCCAACCTCCCTTACTGCTTTCTTCAGCTTTATCTGGATGCTCTCTCACCTTTGTCATCCGGTCACAGTTCACTTGGTTAGGTTAGCTTGTATCTGAACAAACACTTTCTAATTCTTGAGAGGTACACTCCATCACTACCTAGCAGCTTGGATTCTAAGTTATCATCTAGAAAGCAAAATCTTACTCATCATAGATATGTTACCATTTGTTCATTTCTTAATTTCTTCGTTCTTTTCAAAGCTACATCCTGTGCCTCTAACTCTTTTGATTTCCTCTCCATGACAAACTTTTATTTAGTGATTTTTTTTCTTCTAATGGTGCCATTCATTCCTAAATGAATCAGCACCAGTGAGATCACATTTAATGATCCTTGACACAGCTTTGATGAGATTCTCACACTTTCTAGGTAGATGTTTCTAAAGAAAATGCATCTACTGATTAGCCACATTCAAGCAGAAGTTATCACCACCACCATCACTACCAAGTCTCTTATTTCCCAGGGGATTCACAAGTCACTGTTATTGGTTTGTGTTTCCTTTCCAGAAAGCCATGGCCACTGTTTCTGAAATAAGGAAGAGCTCCAGTGGTGCAGAACTGGTATATGTTTCTGGCACTTCATTGTAGAGTCAGTCTGAGGATTTTCATACCTCTTGGCATTCTGTTGTATTTTCAGTTGGAATTCTAATCCTTAGAGATTTCCTTGATTAACTCTTAGCAAACTGCCTTAATAAACTGCCTGATCTCCCAGACTCCAATAGTTTACTTTTTAAACCACCGTATTCTTTCATGGTCCAGTGTTTACTTCTCTGGGTTGTTAGCATTAGCAACCATAGTGGGTTGTTAGCATTAGCAGGTCCTTCCCTAGAAAGCAGACTCAGGAGGAAAAAACAACAAAAAAAGACATTAGCAGGGTCCCTAGTATCCTGTTCCTAAACAGCTGATTGTAATCTGCTTAGAAAGCAAAGGAACTCTTGGGGAGTATTACAGAAGCCCTCTTCTTTTTCACTTTCTGACCTTTTTTTTAAGGACAGATTAGCCTACTCTGAGCTGGACTTTGAGGGAACTGATTTACCAACCCTCTCTCCAAACCCATATCTCGCAGACTTTTATGTTGCAGTAAGTAACCACTTCATCCCTCTAATTAGGCCAATCTCCTGGTACTCATACTTGATTCTTATCTTTTTCCTCATACCCTATATCTGATTTGTTTTCAAATCTTGCTTATTTTTCCTTCAAAACAGTATCCAGAATGTGATCCCTTCCCACTGCCTCCACCCCATGAGTGAATTAGCTCCAGGAGGAGGCACGTGTGCCCATCTGTTGATCTCAGTTATGGGCCATCTAGCCTGGCTTTTCCATTGCTCATATGGAGCCTTGACCTGAGGGCAGATTAGGGAGAGAGGCTCCTTCATGGTTAGTTCTACCTGATTCCAATGAAAGTCCTAGTTGCAGTCCAAGGTACAATGTCAGTTATGAAATTCATCCTGCAGACTAGTATGTCATTCTGAAAACAAACTCCCCTGTCTTTACTCAAATGTGAACCATTCTGTTTCAGGGCAAGGAGAAAAGAAAACAAAGAGAGTTTGTTGTCGCATCATTCATTTGATGACATGGTCATATGCTAAGGATGTAGGAGACTCACTGCAGCACTGGTGATTCTATGGAGCTTAATGCACTTAATGTGTGGTCACCGTCCCTCAGAACAGCTCTGTACTGTACAAAGAAAGAGAGCCCTAATATAGGGAAATGCAGTTACTGAAACATGGCTCATCACCAAAATGTCTAGAGTTCCGTATACCATCAGAAAGACTAAGGTCTACAACTGTGCTTGGAAAACTGGCTTTAAACAAAGATGTTACCTTTATGTATTGGGACTGTTTAATTGCTTTACATGTGCCAGCTCACCTAATCTTCAAAACTGTATCAAGTAAGGGCAAAGGCTAGACTTAACCCCATTTTACAAAGACAACTGATATACAGAGAAGCTGAAGAATGTGCTCAGGGTCACGTGGCTAGTGGCAGGTTCAGACCTAGTTTGATTCGCTCTAAAGTCCACACTCTTTAACCATTATGCAACACTGCCTCTTGATTTAAAAAGAAAATTGTACAAAACATTTCCTTCTCTCTTTTCTTCCTCCTCTCATTTTCAAACGCTCACATGTGCATAAACAGAAGATACTCAGCTGGCAAGGGTTGAGTCCTTTTCATGACAGCAGTTCTTGGGCCTTGACTCCTATTATCACTAATTTGTATCTTGAGACTTTTCTCCTGTTGCCTCTCCTTTCTCTGGATCAAATCAAACAAGAAACAACAGGAAGTGAGAGGAGATACTGGAGGCTGGTCTCGAACTCCTGACCTCAGGTGATCACCCACCTCAGCTTCCCGAAGTCCTGGATTACAGGCGTGAGCCACCGTGCCTGGCCTCTAGATATGTTGAGATACACAAATACTTACTAATGTTTTATGATTGCCTATAGTATGCAGTGTAGTAACAGGCTGTACAGTTTTTCAGCCTAGGAGCAATAGGCTATATAATATAGCCTGGGTGTGGTGTAGACTACATCACGTAGATTTGTATAAGTACACTGTGATGTGCACACAGTGATAAAATTGCCTAACGATGCATTTCTCAGAAAATATCCCTGTTAATACATGCTTATATATGAACTATTTCCTTTAAGGAAAATATTAGGTTTTTTAAAAGTTATTTCTGAAATGATTGTATGCATATTTGCTTTAACTTTCTCAAAGTGTACTCATTTTTAATGTATAGGATTAAAGTATCTCTTTTTAAAAAAAGTGATTTTAAATATAATATAAAGTATGGCCAGCGTGGTAGCACTTGCCTGTAATCCCAGCACTTTGGGAGGCTGAGGCGGGCGGATCACCTGAGGTCAGGAGCCTGGCCAACATGGTGAAACCCCGTCTCTACTAAAAAATTAACCGAGCGTGTTGGTGGGCACCTGTAATGCCAGCTACTTGCGAGGATGAGGCAGGAGAATCACTTGAACCCGGGAGGTGGAGGTTGCAGTGAGCCAAGATCGCACCACTGCACTCCAGCCTGGGTGATAAAACGAGACTCCGTCCAAAAAACAAACAAACAAACAAACAAAAAGTACATGCACACTTGAGATTCTCTTGTACTAAAGGTTTTTAAATCTGCACATGAAGAGTATGATGTTATAGTTTGCTTATGTTATACATGTAATTAAGTCATATATTTTCTTAATTCTTTGATATTTCAGAGGAAGAGTTTTGAAGAAAACTGGGCATAGGCTCAGCAAAACCAAACAGAAGAGGAACAGAAAAAGAAACAAAAAGCAGAACAGTCAGAATAAAATCATGGAGGAAAACTCATTAGAATTCTTAAGTGATCTTACACCAGGAGATCAGGACCCATCTCAGAGTGAAGAGGAAGACATTGCAAAGACCAGAAGAGAATCAGAATATCCTTTCATTGGTGGTCTACAAAATGAAGTCAGAGATTTTGTGACTGGGTATAAAGAAAAAAGATGGAAAAATAAAGATCCTAAACACAGTTTCCAAAACGTTATGTCTATAGTTGAATTGGACAACACACCAAAGAATTACCTCTCTAAGGAAGGTGATAACTTGTTTGTAAGTTTGTCACTGATGCCAGATGAAACCTCTGTTACTAGTCCAATAGTGACTCAAAACCTTTCCTGTGTAACAACTGATGACTGCTCTGGCATGAAGGTAGAAAAGCATATTAGAGATAGGCATACCATAGCATTAGACACCCAGAACCTTGCTGCGGAAACTTCATGCTCATTTATGAAGAAGAGAGAAATAGTAGATAAAAGTCTCCCACGTGAACCCGTTCTGTGCCATCAACGTGGAATCAGAGTGTCAGATAAAGTTTTAAGAGAGGAACAAGTGTATGCAATTAAAATCAGTCACTGGGTTTTTTTCACAACCAGTTTATCTGATGAAGATTTACAGCTGGGCTCTGACAGACAGCCCTATTTTGGTAGCTGGCCTGCAGGACCTCATAAGTTTATATGTGAACCAAAGAAAGATAGAGCACATAAGTTGACTGGTCCTGACAGCAGGGGGCAATGGATTCAATTGATCTTCACTTCGGTAGCAGCATCCGGACCAGGAAGCAGTCCAGAAATATTGAGAGACAAACTACTGATAGGAAATGAAGATTTTTCACCTCCACCTGAAACTATAGATTCATTCATAGAAACAAACCTCTTCAGAAGCTGCTTACCTCAACTGGATATACCAAAGAATGCTTTACAATCAACAAAAAATAAGAAAAGGATTTTCAATTTGGTACCAAATTTTAACTTATTAGGACAGAGTCATATCAGTGTAAAAGACAGGGAGAAATGTGACCTGTTAACAAAAAACCATGGACTAAAAATTACTTTGGGAGAAGAAAAAGATAGAATTTCAGAAAGAAACAGTGAAGAGGAGAATAAGCAAAAACTTATAACCTTTGATCATCATCCATTGTGGTTTTACCTTGATATTATCAAAGCTCCCCCTTTAAATATTGGTGGACAGCGTTATTCTCATTGCCTGTCATTTAACAGACTAAGGTGCTCTGCATCTTTATACAAAAATTATATTCCTCCTTTTGTGCTGCATAATATGTCTAGTATTTGGAAGGCATCTTTTACAAACAAGAAACTGTTTTTGACTTTTGAATCTCAGACAAGAGTAGGTAATAAACTAAATGATGCAGGGTTTATTTCCCCAGAAATTTTACACAGTCATCCTGACACTTCGTGCTCTTTGGGAATCAGTTCTGATTTTCACTTTTTAAATGAAAGATTTGATGGAAAGCTGAAAAGATGGGAAGAACCTAAGCAATTACCAGCTGAGGACAACCAAGACTTAACAAGCCCTCACTGTAGTTCCCTTGGGCTACCATTATCACAAGGGTTTGCCTTGCAACTAGTAAAGCTTTTTGGATCTCCAGGCGTTCCAATGGGTAAGTTGTTTTCTTTTGCTAAAAGTAAAAGATCCAGTTTAACATATGTAAGCAATTTTAGAGGTGTTTCTACCTGGTGGTTAGTGATCTCATGCAGCTTATTAATCTCGTGGTGCTTTTCAGCAGAGTGAGGACCCGTAGCAAACGGTGCTTGATCTTCAAAGTCCCCACCTTTTGCTGTCGGTAGTCTTCATGTCTCCTTCAATGTCTTTGAGAACGTAGAATACTTGGGCTCTCAATTTCAATAGATACTGGGAAGAATGGAGGATGAAGCGGGCAAAAAGGGATTATGTAATCCAGTAGAGATAGGCTGTTTTATTAATTTATTAATTTATTTATGAGATGGAGTGTCACTCTGTCACCCAAGCTGGAATGCGGTGGCGCAATCTTGGCTCACTGCAAGCTCTGCGAGAAAAGAGAGAGATTTTTGGAAATGAAAAAAAATGGTCTACATGCCTGAAAAAACAAGGCAAAATACGATTTTTAATATTCCACTAAATTTCCTTTTTTTGGGCCAGCACAGTGGCTCACGCCTGTAATCCCCCACCATTTGAGCTGACGGATCACCTAAGTCAGGAGTTCAGACCAGCCTGGCCACATGGTGAAACCGATGCTCCTACTAAAATTTACAACGAAATTAGCCGAGAATTGTGGCATGTGCCTGAGTAAACTAGTTACTCAGAGGTGAGGCAGCGATTTAGGATTGCCTTGAATCTGGGGAGACGGAGGTTACAGTGGGAGCTGAGACGACACCACGCACTCCAGCCTGGGCAATAGAGGTAGACTGTTTCAAAAAAAAAAAAAAAATTGTTGTCTTGCAATCTATGAGCTATTTAAGTAAGTGTCTTGTCATGATATTGATCCAACTTTTCCTGTATCTGGTCATAGCTCAAGGCTGATACTTTCTAGTTTGTTGTCTTTCTTCCGTTGGGCGACAGAAGCTGTAAGACTACAAAGGAGCAAAGCTCGGATTTTTGTAGTTCTCCGTGGGCTATTCTTCTGCTTTCGTTCTTATTACTTCTCAGGATTCCTTGGGGACTGTTCCAGTGTGTGTGTCACCCTGGGGTTTTTGTTTAACTTGGCCCTCCTAGCTGTCTGATGCTTGCAGATAAATTTGCGTTCCCGCAGCTGAGACCAAAGATTGATAAGTCCTAAGGCGCAGGAGTCAATTATCACCCTGCTCTTTGGGGCTCTGGCCATCATCGTTTATCATATTTGTAAACATTTGGAATAATTACATCTTGACGTATTTGCTGCCTTAATTTCTATTTTTTCACTTTTTCTCTCTCTTTTTTTTTTTTTTTGAGACCGGACGGCTCTGCCGGGCCAGGCGCGAGTGCAGTGCGTGGAGATCTTGGCTCAGTGCCACCTCTTGACTCCCAGGTTCATAAGCGATTGCTCCTGCCTCAGCCTCCAACTAAGTGCAGTACAGGCGCCTGCCACCGCCACCCAAGCTATTTTGTTTTC